TGAAAACCTCATTATAATATGCTTATAGTCGTATGAAGCCATACCAGCGTTAATCCTACGTCAAGGGAGCCTCCTGTAATAAAGCTAGCTAAACAATTCTTCAGGTGCCACACAGTGGTTATTCCTGCGTACCCCCCCTTCTTATCACCTGCCTGTTTACTGTCCTCATGTAACTGAATGGTGGAATGCGTACAATGTATTTCTATCTCCTATCCTTAAATGACACTTGAATCGTAAAGTTCCATTTTTTATGTTATTCCTGTGAAGTGGTGGTTTCCGTTCTCCATCAGAGTCTCCCTCGAACTTTCATTGAGTTCCGCTGGTCTGCCACTTAAGGAACGTAGTTATTCGACGGTTTCAACATTTTTAAACCGGATTTCAACGATACCCACGTCGCTTTCTTCGTCAGAGTTCACCTACTTCGATTTTGTCATTACTGCATATTGCGTTAACGTAAATTTGACATAAGCGCATCATCCGAAGAGCCCAATGTTGTAATATTTCTGGACTCTTCCACCCATTTGTTCTGCTCCAGAATTATTGAAGTCACTTTCAAAGTATTTTGAGTCATTTGTATGCATCCAGCATTGTGATAAATGTCGAACGCATGTTTCTGCCTACTACGAATAAGGTGCAATCTTTCTTTTCGTTTACAGATCCAGTTTAGGTTTGATGGGTAATCAGATGACGCTTTATTACGCAGAAGTCGATGAGTCACAACGTGTTTCTGGTGCTGGTGGAGGATTGGCAGAGGAGGGTGAATTCATTGAAATTTTTGAATGGCCTGTTGCAAAATTGGACCTGTTGTTGCAAGCTAACCCCAATCGACCCCCTACAAGCACCACCCTTTTATGTGCACTCTATTGGTTCAAGCTGAATATTCTGCCTAGTTTGACTATCTAAATGTATGTTCGTTTCCCCCTCAATTTTTTGGACAAAAACACTTGATTTTTGATTGGTTTCCAATCTGTATTTTGTACCTAGGCGGTGTCGATTACAGCCTTAGAGTGTCATCTCGAAAGTTTCAAATCTTAGCATGTGATCATAGATAATAACATGCATCGATATGCAATATACTTTCAGATTGATATTCCGAAAACCGTGACGAAGCAATACATGCTTTTGTTTTCCCATTTCAGTGTATAGCATCCTGAAACCGGAAGCAGGGAAATTAAACGGGTTTATGAAATTGCAGCCAATAACCAAAAAATCACGTTTTATAGCGGTTATTTGTGTGTGACATAAGTCAATATAGTAAAATTCGTAAGCCCCATAATCCAAAGACATACTGCACATAGGAAGGTAAGGAAAATATTCACGCTGGAACCAGCTTGTTGATTCTGTGTTTAAAGGCATGGATGCTGTAAGTTAGAGGGTAGACCAATAAGGGGAGATCGTTCCACGATTGTGCTGTTCTTGATAAAAGAGGTAACTGAAGTTAAGAAAGTCGACAGCTGAGGATAGTCACTTGAAATAAGATTACAGTGAGTTAACTTTTCTGTAGCTGTGTTTATAATGTTTTATTTAGTTGTAAGGGTGGTACAATGGTTGTACCACGATAACTTGAAATTTATGTGACAATTAAACGCAATCGGGAAAAGAATCCAAGTTCAATATTTCACTTTCGAACTGTGGCCCGATCGCACTTCGTAGCTGTAATTCTCACGTACACATATTCGTATATATACAGCGATTAGTTTCCCATATGTTAGATGCTTTTTTGCTAGGAAGTGTGTAAAGGTGAAAATTTGAACATCAATCTTTAGTTATCATTTGTTTCGTTCAGAATCTCTAGGTGGACACAATGGGATCTTTCACCGCCCCATCCTGGAGATTGGAATCAGCCGGATCGCGAGGGCAATCTATTGCCAGCCTTTGCTTCCCTTTCGTCACATCACACGAACTCTCCAATTCAAGACCAGGGATGGTAACAGCGGTCAATAAGCAGAGCTTTAACACTTGTCCGAGTCATCGGATTCCATTTCGTGAGGCACGAGTATCGATGGGGCCGGGTGGTGGGTGGGGGAGGAAAGCGATTTTCATGCTCATGTAGTTTTCCCAAGAAACGTGTCCAACTGTTTCAAATGGTATTGATCACATGCCAGCAGTCGAAAAATATTTTCAACATGAACTAACCATAATTCATAGTCCGAAACTGCTGACATTGTACACCTGAGTTAAAATCGAAACTAATCTTGTGCCTCCATTACAGGTGCCTCAAGCTAGAGAAACTTAACGGGATTTTCATTGCTGTCTTAGAGACTTTATCACCCCCATATCCGCCAGGCACAACACAGCTCCGAAGATAAACGAAATCGTTGACGGTATATAGCCTTGCATCGTTCCATGTGATGGTTTGCGGTTTGCTACTAGTCCTGAAAATTTATTTTGTGAAGGCATGAAGCTCATCGATGATCGAGTCCTATCAATCATCATAATGTACGGTAGAGGTATTCCCAAAAATAAAATTGGTATAATCGACATTTTCGAGGTCACTAATTCAGTTTACAAATCAATGCTCTATTAGTGTATTTTCAGAACCGATTAACACTTGCTCGAGAATATCATCCATGGCCAGCTTAACCGATTTTGAAATCAGGCGTCTTTGCTGTACTCTACTGGATTAGGTCTAGAGAAACAAAAGCTTAACCTGTGCCCTTATTCTTCACGAAGTTTGTTAGTAGAATATTGGATGTTGTATGAAGCACAACGCATCGAATGTGAAAGACATCTCCCGCATAGCAGTAGTGTCCTGATAAAGAACTTCACCGATATCCGAATTCACAATTATTGTGTATGGTATGTGTTGCGATGTAGGACTATCCGATGGATAACGCAGATTCGATATGTAAAACTACAGTATTGCTGAATGGTATGATCCTCTTGTATAAATAAATGGTTTCTCTTCTTTAGGCAACAACTTGTGAAAAATAATTGCTCCCTTCTGCATTTTTGACATAATGGGGACTGAGCTTATACTTTTGTGTCTAAACTAGCCAATTATTGACTGTGTTCGACGATAAAAGCCATTATAAAATTCCTTCAGCTAGGAGTAGCTTGCTTAAATTCCCCAATTTCTTAGAATATGGTGTGAATTTCGCGCACTAGCCCATTTATTCCATGTTTAAGGACGTGTGGTGGCGGTTGACTTGACCCTAACTTTTGGTGATGCATTAGAAACCTGAGTACTCTGTTAACTTCAGCTTTTCATCAAAACAGAAAGAAGACAAATGTCGCGAGTTGCTAAAATTTCGTTTAATCTTCTCAGTCGCTGACTTAAAACAAACAGGCACTTATATAGCACATGGGATTAATCAATTATGGTGAATAAACGTGTACAAGCATGCAAAGATTATTAAATTTAGAAGTAGGTCAACTTCACGGTAAGTGGATTGCTTGTATCAAAAACTTCTGTGTGCACAAGGTCGGGTGATGTAATCGAATAAGCAGTGCTTCACTAATCACCAAAAGTTTCGCATTTCGATTACGTAATAGTGGTTTGAAAGACGAATTCTGGTCAGCTATGTGTCTTGTTGCCATGACATGTTTTGCAACAGATTATCCTAGATTTCTTGTAATCACTTGGCCATCATTTATCGGTTGCGTTATTGAATTCACCAACCACTTTGGAATATGTTCGACCATCCGTTGTGACAGCTGACAGTTCGTTCTGCGTATGTATCCGTCACCGCAATTGCAGGTGAACTGGTTTGTGTGAGATGGAACTGGTTTGCCAGCCATGTTTACGTTTGTCCAAATCAATTCCACGAGTGGAGGCGATGAATCAGTTGAGCAATTGGGAATGTACGGTCTAGAGCTGACCTCAACTTCTGGCGCACATCACTGTAAATGTGATCACCTTTGAACGCAAACTTGATGTAGATGGTCTTTTTACTGACGTTTTCGGATGGGTTACCTTTTGGGAATAATCTACTGTGAACGTGTTATGTGAAATTTTAACATCTCGCGACATTTGTCTTATTTCTGTTTTGATGAAATGGATAGTGGGAACTCAATGCTGCAAACGTAAAAATTGCTGGCCATGCCGTCTCTCAGTTTATGCTGGTGTTGAAGCAAATGGCTTATTGAATTATTACTCAGTGCTCAACCCAATACTCCACTGGACTCCTAAAATTTCCAACAAGATGTTTTAGTTACACCGGATTTTCTTGCATCAGTGGCTGAAATACAATGAAGCAGCTTCCAGATGTTTTCGGAAGCATTTTCCAACTTCAAATCAATTGCACGTTTTGACCACTAGACTTCGCGGTCCAGCCTTGTGTTCGTTAAGTTTAAACTTCCAGGCAATTTATACTTACTGCAGGCACTTTCGTGTGGCCTTCGCTTTTGTGTTGCACCTAAGAAAATCAACAGTATTGAATTACAGGCTCAGTTTGAATTTTTTTCGAACAACTTAAAGTGCTTAAAGCAACTTCAAAAGATGCGGAGTCGTGGATAAAAGCGAAACTGGTCGACTTGGAGCGTCAGTATCGAATGACACCTTCGAAACAAAAGTCACTTCTCACTCCTGAGCGCTTATCAGCTTTACAGAAGTTAGAGGAAAAGTCCGATTTTACATCCTGACAAAGGATCTGGGGCTATCCTGATGGACCGTGCAAATTACCAAATAAAGATGGATTGCAGCCTCAATGACCCTAGCAAGTTTTTACGAGAAAAGACATGTGACGAACCAACAGAGCTGGAGCGTAAAATTGCCTCTGAAGTTCAGTTCTTGTTGAAGGGACATTTCATTGATGAGAACACTGCCCGGGCTCTGAAGTCTAGAGGAACTCATATTCCAC